ATTGACTTTGATATTACAATGTTTTTAAGAAATTTAATTGAAAGAAAGTAATACATTAGCTTGGTGCGGCAAGATATTAGGAAATGTTAAATTGCATAGTATGTCCATTGTGTAATGAAAACACTAGAAAATGTTAAGACTTGTGTTTATTGTATTCCAGTACTGACCCAAAGTCCAGTTGTAGAACAAGTTCATCAAGAAATCAGTGCCACCAATCCAGTGGTAGAGACCCATGTTGAACAGGAGACAAATGAAGCTCAGCATACAAATTTGGTTAATGGAGACTCGACAGTATGACACTTAAGTTTCTTTCAATAGGTGGCTATTCATTAATTGTTGAACATCGGACACTCCACTGATCGAATATAGAGTTGAAAATAACAACCTTTGCCAGAATTTGAACTCAAAGCCTTAGTTAATTAGAAAATAGTTTATGACGTGGCCAACATTTTCATGAGGTTGGACATGTATATATATTTATTTATTTAATTAATATACATATCTTGTTGGAACATGTGTATAGTACCAATGTTTTGTATCTAGATCATGACATTTGTGCAGATCAGTTTAAGCCTTAAGTAATTTTGAAACATTTTATTGGAAAAGTGAAATTTGGGCAATACCATTGGCTTTTATTATTTCCACTGTCACTTGGCTTGAATTTTTTTTGTCAGAGACAGTCACTCAAACACAGCTAGCTACTTAGAAAGGTACTTACTGAGCATAAATGTTGTAAATAGTTAAATTAATTCTCTTCCATTGGTACTTTTAGAGTGCCTTCTTTGTTGCACTTCACTGCCAACTGAAATAACTATGATGCATATTTTAAGATCTTAAGAAATGAGTCAGAAGTCTTCATTTAATTGTCTATACACAGCACCTTATGTTGTAGAGAAAAAATAATAAAATGGAATCTTAAAAAATCTTCTTTTGATTAGATAAAGGGTGTCTTAATAATTACTGTATACCACAAGATACTGTAGGTTTAGAAAAATATAACACAATAAAAAAAAAACATTTAGAGAAAGCATACTAGCTTCAGACATCACCTTCACTTATCTATTGAATTATTGGGACACCACACATGATCTGTTGACTTTATTTCTCCATTCCTTTCTTTTACCTAGAGTCTTTTTTCAATGAGAAACCTGTTCATTCTTTTATTTTGTCTTCCCATCACTTTCTCTGTCTGTTTTTTTTTTTTTGATACTGTTCCCTGTAGGAAGGTCTTTGCAAGCCTTGAGGACCTTGTGATAAAACCATAAAGATTTAGTTTGCGTTTTTGATAATAGCAGGTCATTATGGGATGTCATGTGCAGGGCCAGCCTTAGGGCACTGCAACCCTTTGTGGCCGCAGTGGACCCCTACATCTAATTCTAGGTGTAAATTATTAAATTAAACCATTATAACTTATTATTACAGGGTTCAAGCGGCTTCCTGGTATTCCAGGAGCTCCTGGAAATCTACTGAAAAATAGACAAAATTGTCATATTGGGATGATTCAATATGTAAAATGCCAATCCTAGTCACGATAAAAAAACAACAGCATTGTCCGCTTTCATTTAATAGAAATGTAATAGTAGGGAGAATTATAAACAAAACAGAAAGTTCAAATACTTTATTTACTTTAGATCTAAATTTATCTCAATCTCGTAAAAAAAATATCACAAGCAGTATTTTGTTGTCGATAGTAAATCTTAAAGGCAGATCTGAATGTTTATTCGCTTTTTGATGGAAAACAACCTTCTTCTGTAGATAGCTTGATAATTTGACAGTGATTTTGTACTTAATAAAGAATGAATAAAATGCAAAGACTCTTTAAGACTAATTTATTTTCTAATACTAATTTTAATTTTCACTTATTATGCTTATCTTAATTTTCACATATTATCCTTATCCCTACCCAGACTGGCCCTGCACAATCTATTTCGGGTAGGACCCCACAATTGGTTTGACCGTCCCTGGTCATGCGATCCTGTTTAGAATCTCATTTGTGTTGCTATCTTTGTAGGTGATACCCACATCTAAATAAATGCTGATCAAAAACAATGTTTCACAATAGTAATGTTTTATATTCAAAACTTGTGCGTAAGACATATCTCCTATTAATTCCGCATATTTAAAAAAAAAATTTTACAATTGATTTTAATATACCATTTTTCTTTGATGCTCTATCATTTTATTGACTTGAAAGTGTGTTACTTTTTAAATTTGTTAATTTTGGACCAATGATACTTGAATTAGAGGTGAGTTGACATTATTGACATTTTCTTTTGTCCATTCCAGTCCACACTAACTGGATCTATGAATACAACAACCACTCCCCAAGCCACTGGAAGAATTCAGATAGCAGCTGAAGACCCAGAGGATGAATCCACACAACCTCTCTATGTGAACGCCAAACAGTATCACCGTATTTTGAAAAGAAGAGAGGCCAGAGCCAAACTAGAAAGTTCTGGAAAAGTTGTTCGGAAACGTAAGGTCAGTGATGAGAATCACTGTTCTAAACCTTTTTTTATGGTTTGTAGAGGTATTAGGTTTGTATTTGATGTATTTATTGTCTGTTTGGTGTCAAGTTATACAAGTTTCATTTGGTTTGTATATGATGGTACAGTGCTACTTTCCATCCATCCATCCCAGTGGCGCTACAGCCCATGGTGGGCTCTGGCCTGCTTCAACATATCCTTCCATTCAGATCTCTCCTGGACCTTTCATTCTCCACACCCTTACCGCAAGCTGTTGCAGATCTGCCTCCACATCATCAATCCATTGCATTCACTGTCTGCCTTTGGGTCGCCTGCCTTTAGTACACTATTTTCTCATAATAGAAATTACATTTTTACATAGAGCACAATTTAAAAATATTTTAATATTTATTAACCATATACATGAAACCGAAAAAACATTTCATTATTTTTTTATTACTGGCATTGCTTGAAGTATTATTAAAGGATGGGAATTTAAAAAAAAAAAAAAAAAATTCTGTCTGATCCATTTTTTCAGACAAAAAAAAAATCTCATTTTTTCCCGTCATTGTCTGATAAAAAAACATTTGAATTTTTTTATAGGATTTTTTTAAATGAAAAAATAATTAGATTTTTTTTGTTTTGATTTGTTTTGTACATGCACCCATTCGATATCAGTCTATTGACACCATTGAAGGGTTTTAATTTAAAACCATCTCATTTTATTTAGAATCTAGGTCTAAAAATCTTTATGTAGATCTTGATGTGATTTTCTATCATTCTAGATAGATATCTGGATCTAGATCTAGATTCTTTAATTTGAATACTTTTAATATAGATCTAGATCTAGACCTTGAATGGTTGCCTGTATGACTGATGTCAGATGTGCCCAACCGCTTTGTGCAGTAAATCTCATGTAATGTAATTAATTTGTAACATTATTTAAAGAAAATACTAAATATAGTTAATTTCTACTTAATTTTGAAAGAATTCCACAACTTTATTATTTAGGTCTTCACGTCATGGCGATTCACAAACGAGGGTATATAAAGTTTCCTAATATTTTTGCAAAGTTTGTTCCCACTACTTGATTATTAAAGCTATAGATACTGTTTTGTTTTTTTTATTTATTAGAAGCATCTGCAAATCATTCTATTTGAAGGTTCTTTTTAAAGTAGGTAGAGATTTATGTATATTATTTGAATGAGATTTAAAAAAATAAATATAAATATAAAATTTCAATAGGGAAATGTAACACAAGTTTAAACCTCGTAGCTGTGTTCTTATTAGCACATTTTTGTGTGCCTTTTATTGATGCAAAAAGGTGATTAAAACAATTTTTAAAAAAATTAACATATCTACCTTTTGTAAATATGTTTTCCTTTCCTAGCCCTAAAAAACATTTTTGTAATTTTGAATGTAACTGATACATTTAATATAGGGTTATAATCAGATAAAAAAAATTGTTTCAAACTCTATGAAAAAATAAATTCAAATGTGGTTGGATTGTGTAGAAAGTTCAAGTGTTTAAAAATGTTTTTCTATATAGAAAATTCAGCTATTCTCACACACAAGTTAGAAGAATTTTTTTTTAAAATCTTGAAAACCATTTTTTTTTTTCATTGTTTGAAATTAAATATAATTATTTATTTACCATATACACACTTTGTTGAAATAGTGCCCATAACTTTCTGTAGGAGATACTAATGGACTGTTAATGAGGCTTTGTTCTGTTGTTATTCTATTACATTGGTTTTCCTATTTATTTTAAATAATGAAAATATTTTTGAAATTAGCAAACATATTGATTATACAAGATTTTGAGTTTGAGTTATCTTCCTTCCCTTAGTCTTTAAAGCAGCATTTTGAAAGTGCTGTTGGGTAAAATTATTATTTAATTTAGTTACTTTTTTTTTTTTTTTTTTTTAACTCATCTAGTTACCACTAAAGTTTTCTTCATTAGATCTCTGTACCGGTATATCATATTTAAAAAAGAATTATTTTTTTTTCAGAAATATCTTCACGAGTCACGTCACAAGCATGCTTGTCAACGAACACGAGGAACCGGCGGTAGATTTTTCTCAATCAAAGTGGAAAATGAGGCAGAATTTGGACTGAAAGATGTAAGTGTAAGACAAATTTCATGAGTCAGAGTTTAGACTGAAGAATTTTTTTTTTGTCCAATGTGTCATCTACTTTAACATGTTTTTTTTTTTTTTAAATGTGTCTGATAGTTCTTGTGTTCCCTCTTTAGAAATGTCAGATATAACACTAAATTAGTGTTCATTTTTCCTTTCAAATTAAACCCATTACACTTTCAATGTATTGACACAGGAAACAGACAGGCACTGTGAACATTCTCCAAGCAGTATAGATAATCAAAGTCCTTCACCTTGACATACATTATATTGATTCACTAAAGAGACTTTATCATTGGGAGATTACTAGACAGGATGATTGAGATATCAAGATCTACTATTGACACAATATGGCTTGAAGAGACTTGATCTGATCTTATGTCTTCTTCCACTGTTCAATTAAGAATGAGTTTCCTTGATAAATGGTGACAATTGTTTGACTGTGATTTGCTAGACATGTATAATATATTAATTTTCATCGTTGTTATATTTTTAGTACATTTGTTACAATTTGTGTTTGTACATTGGGTTGTTTTACTTTGTGTTAAGAATATCTCTTATATGATCTTAACTCCCTATTTTCACTCAATCTGCATTTATGCATCATCTATTGTTTTGTTTTCCTTAGTATTGTATTGTATAGTATAATTTAATTGAAACGGAGAGACATCCATAACTTAAAAGTAAGCGAAGTGGGAAAAAAAGACAAATATTATTTAACATCAGGGTAACATTTTGGATGTCCACATTTATGTCAAATGTGTCTATCAGTTTATGTTACGCTTTCTTATACCCACAATTTTAGTATTACCTGAAGTATTAAATGATCTGCTAAGCTTTTTGAAAAGAGTTTACTGCCTCTCTTTTAGTTAGCAAGAAAATGAAAAGCAAAAGTAGAAATTCCATAATAAAAAGGTGTGTAGTGTTTTGTAACTTTTTTTTGTTTAGGTCTATTTTTGTTGAGATGAAACTTTCTGTCTCAACTTGATGTATCACTATTTAAACGTTTTTTTTAAATTTGTTTATTAAAACATAAATATTCATAGAATCTTTTATTTGAAATGAAGCTTGGTTATAACTCCACCAATGATTATTGTGTACAAATTATTCTGAAGTTTAAAGACTCGTATATTTACTTAAATATCTGGTTGATACTGACATGCTCTAAGAATGGATATCTTTAGTTATATTGTATGTTAGTTTTGTTTAATTGACTTTTAAAACTTAAACTTGATTTCAATTGGGTACATTTTGTTTTGAATTTATGCTGAGAGTATTGAATCCTTTTTGTCTAACCAGGTTGTAGGTACATGTCAAGATTAAAGACATTTTTTTTTTAGTTGCCTTCTATGAAGGACTATAAATTTATGATCTTGAACTGACTGAAGTGAAGATGAAATTCTTTGTTAATGTTTTAGTGAAATAATTTGTGTGTAGTGCTATCACTTTTTTGCTCTCACTGCCATGTATCATATAATATACAAGTCAGTCATGTTAACATCAATATATTGTACAGATTCTATTTACGTTTTGGTGTTAGCCAACTTTTGAGTTGGACCAAACCAAATGTATTAACCTTACACCACTCAGCAGACTTTCTTATATTTCATTGAAATAGGGTGTTTGATTTCTGTTCAAATGCTTTGATTTTTTTTTGTAAACATTTTCTTGTTCAACTTAAGAAAATGAATAATGGTGTGTAGAAGTTTTTAGATCATGTACATTTCTCTCACATCGCAAGCACCATGCTTGTCAATCACACAGTATTAAGAACTGGGCAGCTGATTAAAGTAAGAGGATTTCAAGAGTTGACAGGTCAATGGCTCTGTTAATAATGTGACAATATTGAAGCATGGCTTGTGTTGTTTCCTTGTTCATCTATGTGCAATATTTCTTTAAAACTAATCTCAATACGTACAAACATATCTATATTATGATGAAATTAAACATTTTATTTACCTTTAAAAAAAAAATGTTTTTTGTTAACTGTCTATAGAGTTGTGCTATGAGAGTTTTAATTCTGAAGTAATTGCTACTTTTCTTATTATTTCTGTAAAATTTAGACTTTTTATGTGCACACACATCTTAGTGTGCTTTGGGTTGCATTAAGAATTGGGCAGAATTTTTATTTTGATGTCCAATTGTCTGGATTATGAATTTTAAAATATATTTCGGATTAAGCCATGAAAATATAAATTCCTCTGAAAAATTTAATTAGAAAAAAAAAAAGTAAATGTGAAAGAAGTACTGTAACTACTAACTCTATTATTATTTGGAGTTCAGCTTTAAAAGTAAAATATCATATACTAAGTTAATGATGTAGATAGCAGGTACTTAATAATTAAAACAACTCCTTCAAAGTCATGTATTATTTTCAGTAGCTAACTACAAGAGAGACCAACCAATTTCAACAGTTAAACTCTTTACATATTACTTGTGTAAACAAATATCCTAATAGTGTATGAAGTATAGTAAATGTGTGATACCAATGTGGCTATGTTAAGTAATATTCTTAAACTTTGCTTACTGTTTTGCCCTCCATACTGTAGAAGGTTTGAGCTCTGATGTAATACTCATTTCTGTAGGCACTTTATAAACATCAGAATATTAAGATATAGCTTTTTTTTTCAATCTTTTTAATAGTTTAAAGTCACTTCTTATTATCTAAAATACAGACCTAACTTCAAAAATGAAGATGATTATGTCTTATGCATCTAGGCATGCATGTTAACCAATGACCTAAATTCTGCCAAGTCACTGGTTTTTCAGGCAACCCATTCCATGCTGTAATAACACTAGGGAAGAAGGAGCATTTGTACAAATTTGTCCTAGCATATGGAGCGAGGAATGTGCCTTTATCTTTGTGTCTTTCTGAGTATTTTATTAGATTTTGTGTATTTGAAGATTATGGTATTTCATGGGAAAATGTAAGGTAAAGGTTGGGTGGGTGGAAGTCTGAAAATTTCCAAACAGAATGTCACACTAATAACATGTATCATGGCTTTGATCCACATACTAGCCACTTTCTATAACGATGTATTTTTGTTAATTTCAAGAAATTAGAGTTTTGTCAAGTGAGAAGAAATACATTTAATTAATATATTAAGAGATATCTTTTAAAAAATCGTAACAATTGCAATGTAGAAAAATATATTTTTTAATATAAAATGTTTCATTTGATACAAACACCCCCAATTATAAAGTATCAAACATATGTATGCCTCTAACAGATGGCTTACACATCAAATAAAGACAATATAAACTATGGCACTTGAGAAATAGACATATGACAAAACTGATATGTAACATTTTATTGACAGATCAAATGATTCAAGCTCTAAAAGTATTCTTTGATCTTAGATGAGTGATGGCATCATTGACCTGCCAAATGAAAATAATAATAAAAAAGGTTATGCCATGGATATAAGATTTAATTAATGTTGATATCATTAGACTTAAACGTTAAGTCCTCCAGTGCAGTTTCATGTAATACACATTCAGGTGGGAGGATCAGCTAACAACAATCATTTAAATGCTTTTTTTTTAATAAGTGTAAAATTATAATTATTATTAAAAGCTATGACAGGATATTTTGAAGAGTCAAAGGTTAAGGTTGAAGTACTTTGACTACCTGTTTATCCATATACTATCTTCTTTGATCTGTAACTTAAAAGATTAAAAAAAACTTGTATAGCTCTGTTGAACTACTGATACTGTAAGTTAACACTGGTACACCACATGAAATAGTGTTAAAACATTAACTCAACTGTCTTTATTATGTTAGTTCTCTACAATTCAAACCTGTGCACTATTGAAATAATAATGTAGTTCAGTCTCTGCTCTATGTGTCATTATAATGTTTAAGTTTTATTCAATTTGAATATAATGTTTTTGTTTATCCAAATCTTGAACAATATAAATTTTAAACATTCTGGGAGCATCTTAGTATATAAGTATATTCAAATCCGGTAAATCATATCAGTCTTTTATTTGAACAGAATTCTGATTAATGTTAGTGTTATAGGGCAGACTGTATTTTAAAAAAATCATCCATGGTCTTCAATCACAGTAACAAAATATTGAAACCAAAACTGAAATTAAATGATTAATGAGGAACAAGAAGTTTAACAAAAATTCTGAATATTTTTTATAAATATATAGTTCGTCCATCGTGGTTCGACGATGACCACTTTGTCATCCAGGGGGCTGAGGGCTTTGCACTGGGGTTTTATGTCTCCTCATGTGGCTGGTGAGACCTATGTGAGCCCGAAATGTTCGGCCGCACACTGGGCAGGTTATTCCAGCTGGAGCTAGTGTCGTTTGCCTTGCTTTTCTTCTCTGGCGTTTTTCTTCTGCCAGCGGTTCTTTTTTCCTCAGCAACCTGTGCGCCAGTTTTCACAACGCGACGCCATGATGCTCTGTCTCCCAGGTGCCTGGGTCTATGCTGAATGCCTTCAGAGAAGCTTCGAGGGTGTCCCTGACAATTTGTGGCCTTTGACAATTTGTTACGTTAAAGAGAAAGAGAGAGAAAAAAAAAAAGAACTAACATAATATTTCTACTTACTTGATAAACTGTTATCTATTCCCAATATGACATTTATTTTACTTAGATGACTGTAGCAAAAGGTGGCGCCGCATTAAAATAAATGGAGCAGTTAAAGCACTACCAAAGAATAGAACGAAATAGATGGTCAGTTTAGTCTTGTTGCGAATATCAAATGGAAGATTCTGAAAGAAAATCAGGAATATATTTGATGGCATCATTTTATAGTCTTACTATTTATCACATCAATTATCTACTACAAACAAACTAGATCTAAGACAGTCAGCAAAACTAGGACTTCCTCCACTTTTTACTCAACTATTAAATCCATGATCCATGGTTAACTCTCTCTCTCTCTCTCTCTCTCTATATATATATATATATATATATATATACTAACAGGATATATATAGATTAGTAAGATGGATTCTGATGAGTTGTGTTATAGAGTCTATAGTAGTACTTATATATATGCCCTTCTACTAAATAATAAAGTAAAATGATTTTGCTTCAGAAAAAAAAGGCTTTAAAAATTAATAAAACAGATCAGTAATTTCATATTTCTCTGTCCTAAATATCATTCAATGATTTATCATGATTTATCTTCATGTTCAAACGAGAAGAAAATGCCAAATTATAATAATTTATTTTTTTTAGTCTTTATAGGTTAGTATTTTACCGATTCTCAATAACTTCAAGAAACTGATTGATAAACTTGACGTAAATAGATTCTATATCACAACATAGATTTACACCTAGATTTATAAATCTTGAACAATAGTGTGACCATAGCTTGTCCTAACTGATAGATCTACATCTACTAACTAGATCATCTAGCCGATCTAGCAAAGATATAGATTTAGAACCTAAAGCAAGATCTAGATACCGTACATCTAAATAGTCAGACTTGTTATAGATCTAGATCTATACAAGTCTAGATTTATATTTCCTAGAAAGCAACAGTAATATGCTATTCTACCCATAGCCCTTCTTAAAGTCTACATTTATATTTTTCAAAGAGCTTACTGATCCTGGTATACCCTCTTGCTGCCATCCCTGACTCCTGCTAACAGTGGATGTCTTAAATTGTCTAACAAACAGCCTAGAGAACTGACTAAGAGACATTTTTGTGGTCCTATGACCCTAGTGGCCCTACGTATAGCCTACGTGACAAAGGGCACACAGGCAGATTATATCATGATAATCATTTATAGATAGGCTATAAACAATAACAAATGAAATTATCACGAATTGAAAATAACCAGGTTCTCTCCCTTTTACAACTGCGTTAAGCTACTTAAAAATAAAGCTAGTAGGCCTACTACTGTAGAAACTTAATAGTAAGCTTAGGTACTGCGCTGCCAAAATTGTATATTATTTTATCTTTTTGAACAACAGACGTTCCTTCAAAATAGAAGATACTTACGTCCTACGTGTATCCACATGTTAATCTAGTCGAGCGCGTAATTAGAGACATTAGCATAAGAAGCATCTATGACTCAGTTAAACTCATTAAATTCGCTGATGATACTGCCATAGTCGGTCTTATTTCAGGAGACGAAACTCAGTATCGAAGCTCGATAGAAGAGTTTACAAACTGGTGCACCGAAAACTTTCTAGAACTGAATGTAACAAAAAACTAAAGAACTTATAATAGATTTTAGAAAGAAAAAACAAACTATACGTGAATTGCAAATTAACACTACATCTACAGAACAAGTAATGGCATATAAATATCTAGGCGTTATCATCAACAACACGCTTTCATGGGAAGACCACCTTGGAACTCTGACAAAGAAAACAGCCCAGCGACTCTTTTTTTCTATACAAACTCAATAGCTTTAAACTAAACAAGAAGATCCTTGAGACCTTTACGGCGCTACTATACAAAATCTGCTAACATACGGAATAACTTGTTGGCAAGACAACGCCTCATCTAAACTGTTGCGACGTCTAGAAAACATCATTAAAAAAGCATCCAAAATGCCACTCCCAACATGGCCAGATTTAAAGGAACTTTTTGAACAAAAGTGCCAAAGAAAAATCGAAAAAATCTTGGAAGACAACGGCCACCCTCTCCATCAGAACTACGTCAGGTCGTCGCGAAGTGGGCGACTGCTGTCAATCAAAACAAGAACGGAGCGATACTAAAATTCGTTCGTACCTCACTCGGTCAGAATCTATCACCGCCTCTCATTGATCAGGGAACATGAAATGCACCAAGATACCTGTGTGTAGTCGCTGAATGAACTCTTTATGTTGTCTGTTGTATTTATGTGTATTTTTCTGTTGTGTTGTCTTTATATGAGAAAAGAGTCCTTGTAATCACAACAAATTTCCGTAAGGATCAATAAAGCAGTCTTAGTCTTAAAACTCTGCTAGGCCATTGCACTTTCCTGGCTGATTCGGACAACCTGTTTCGTCCTCTAA